TGACAGTATGTAGTGCGCATTGAGAAAAGAAGGTGCTCTCCATTTCGTCATGTTCAATTTTTTGGTAAACTATGCCTGCTGAAAATTTGATGGCGGGGAACACATGGGACTTCAAAGGCATCGCGCAAACGTTCTTTACGCGCTGTGGCAACTTTGATGTTGGTTTATTTGCATAGCGCTGCGTGCGCGTGGCTTTGCCGAGTGATCTCCTTCTCAATAATACCTCAATGATCCTACCTTAGTCATGCAACAGAAAGCTCCCTATTGTCAGCCATAGAACCACAAGAACATTAGAGGCCATATTTAAATATTTGAATTTAAAGCTTTGTGGCAAGCAGAATTCCTTGTGTACATGGCCTAGTATCTCTAACTTCCACCACCAATGGGATATTGGAAAAATCAAATTTTGTTATGGTGGCACAATCTTTGGTGTAAAGTACAAATACACAGTTGGTCAACACTCCCATCATTAACTATGAAAACGTTCTTCACTCACTTAACAATAACTTAATTATTCTCTTGCAAAATCAGATTCTTTTTTATTTCAGGAAAATTTTATCTCTCATCCTTTCCTCCAGACATAATACTGATCAACGTGAGTGAAATTTAAAAAAATTACTTTGTAACAAGAGTTGTGATTGGTTGCTTAAATGTTGAATCCCATGTGAGCAAGAACAAAGAATATAATAACAATGATAGCAGCTGCCCCAAAGAACATCAGTGCCACAGGATACTCAACTGTGAAAAATAAAACAATTAAATAATAAATTAGAATAATATAAATATTGTAAGAACAATATAATAGTACCTTTTTTCAATCTTAAAAGATTGAAGAAAGGGTCAGATAAAAAAAAACAACAATACACTGGACGTAATGTTACCATTGTCATAATAATAATTATTATTAACGTTATAATCATCATCATCACTGACACTACCATCATTCCCATCCTCTTTGTAGCTGCTATTTTTACCAGTGCTCTCATCATCATTCACAACACCATTACCTGCACTATCTCATTATCATTATTATTCAAGCAACTGAATATCTGACTCAAGACTAAAACCATACGGTAGTCAATCATATTCATATATTCATAGAAAATACGGTAGTTTTATTCTATAATGTATTCACTGTAAATTTTCTATATAAAGTATACGGTAAAAATTATCAATATCTTTACTTATGAGGTTCTCTAACTTAAAAAATACAGTGTAACGCTTGCTTTCTTGTAAAGCGGTTACGCCGCTGGTGGCACTATAAGAACTTATGAGGTGTAAATTTACTAATTCTACACATCTGAATCTTTGACTCCGTATAGAGTATCTATTGTCAAACAAGATAAAACTATAAAAAATTATTCCTCAATCGACCTTTAGATGTTCTTGTTACATTGGTGAGTACCTAACTTCTTATTTGATGCACTTCTATGATGCCACATAGTGTGTGTGATAGACGCAGACGCATACGCGCATAATACCTGGCAACGATTTATACTAACTTAACATACAATTTATTGGATCAGATATTCTGAACTATGCATATAATATCAAGCAAAGTCTAATCAAACATTGTGTATTGATGATGAATTTGAAGAAATGTACTTTCCTATTGCGATTCAAACCGAAGACTTTCTGATTAACAAACTGATTCTCTACCAACAGAGCTATGAGGCTAAGGGGTGTACACCCTTGAATTTTCCCATTTAAGCCAAGGTCCAACAGCCTAAATTATCCAATCACATTCATACATCTGTACATACTAAGCACATTTGGCTCTTACCTCAAGGTATCGTATATGACTAATAGTAAATCAAACCAAAACCAAACTGTACATACCTGGGCTAAATACTGGTGTAATCTTCAATGATTTGTCTGGGCATACACTCAATAGAGCAGCATCTAATTCTCCTAAAATTTTCCGTGTCTTCTTTGTTATTGGAACGAATGAGAGACCAGTTACAAATATACTGTGTACATTATTAACAACATGCAGTTTCTGAAAATCGTAAAAAAAAAATAGTTGCTGCAAATCAAATGAATGTTGTAAGTCAAAAAAAACATTATTAACAACCTGCAGTTTTAGAAAATTGAAAAACATTTAGATACTCATCAATAAAGAACATTATTACACAGACTACAAAACAGACAAGAAATAAATTATGTGATTTGACATAAGGCTTTGTCTACACTATCAAATTGTATGTAACAAATAAATGTGATATGTTCATACAGTATATGGATGTAATATGACATAACCATACCCATATTTTTGGCACATCACACAAATTTTATAGTGTGGACTGAGTTTAAGCCATGTTTTATAGGAGTCCTTGGTAGAAATTTTCCCCAAATACATGTCACATGACTATTGTTTTTACACAATGATCTGGAAAATTGAAAGGTAAAAGCTAAAGGTAGGAGAATAAACCTTAGCTTGCAGCGTCATTGTGCTGAATTAAGTATAGGCGTAGTCTGCGCCGTAAAGAGGTGCTTATAGTAGCTACATGTTCACATCATTCCACAAAAGCAGCTGAAATTAACCATAGCATCGGGGTAACCCCCCTGCTATTCTGAAGGATGCATTGGGTTCTTTAAAGTGCACACGAGTCAGATGTGTACACTGGCCTTCATTTCAAGTCCTTACCCGAGAAGACTTGGTTCTATCAACCGAAACCTGGAAGAGGAGCAGCTGTAGCCAGCGTCAATGTTAAGGCTGTAGTTACCGGAGCCTCTGACTTACCGCTTGGTCACTCAACTCGCAAATGACTATTCTTGGTCAATGTCCATGAATAATGTATTGAAAGAATAATTTCAATGATAATTGAACAATAATAACAGCAATAATCAGAACAAATGTGATGTTAATACCTTTAAACTAAATGCAATATAGATAGCAATTGATCCTGTCATCGTTCCAACACCAACATAATGGCCACCATGACTACGTAAATGTAAAAAAAAAGAGTAAATGAAACTAATGAAAAATCAAATAACATTAAAAAATATATATAATATTTGACATAAACCACATTACCTATTATTTTGTTAAAGTATAATCCATCAATGTAAATTGTTAACAATATACACTCAATAATCTTTTAAAATTGTGTTATTTTCTTTCTTTAGATTGAGGTACTAGTCCACATATCAAGCGCCCTGAGCATCTTACATTAGATAGATATGTGCGCTATATAATTATAAAACTACACTATTCATAGATAAGAAAAAGTTTATATTTACTTAAATATTGGTTTAATTATGTATCTAAATCATGCCTTATAATTTGAGACTGCACATCACTAGAAAATACCTGACAGCAAGGGAAGATAAAATGTCTTGTCCAGTACAAATAGATTTCTCTGGAATGAACTTGGTGGTGTCCCACTTGGTGATGTAGCTGGGCTGGGCTTTACGGGATTGCACGTGTGGCACATGGATGGTAAACATAGTGCACTCTGTTGTCTTGCCTGCTACCAAGCCAAATCTAATATAAATTAAATCATCTAGTTACTTCCATGAAATTCAATACAAAGTATATATCTACCTTCAGTGATTAAACATATTTGCTGTGAAGAATCTTAGAAAAAGCAAAAATTACTGAGTACAAGACAATTTTCATTCTTAATTAAATAAAATATTGTTGGTTGATACAGCACAATAAGAAAATCATGTTATTCAAAGAGATTTTCTTTTCAATTATTGAAAGGTTACTTAAAATACAATAAACCATATAAAGTCTTTTATATTTCAAGTTAAGCTTATCACAGGTGGTATATTTAACAAATCTCTCTAAACAAAAGAGAACAGGATTGATTCAAGAAATTTTTCTTTCCAATTAATGGAAATGTGCACTACAATGAGATGTATCAAATAATTTGTTTGTAAATACTATACCTGCATGATCTGAACCTGTATGACTTTTCTGGTACTTTAACATCCCAAAATAACTCATTAACTAGCTCCGACGTCTTAGGTTTCCACACTTTCGCAGTGCAGTCCTTTGATATTGATATTAGCTTGAAAATAGATGATAAAATATTATAACATATGACAGGTCACAAGAGTGCAGTGTGGTGTAATGGTTTTGTAGACAATTTGTTATTGTATGGTAGTAGTGACTGAATGGTACACAGCAACTACAGAAAACTATTGCAGCCTTCCTCTCTCACATACAAACAGAAAACAACTAGATTATAAAGTGCATAAAAATAGAACAAATTTTTAAAATTTTAAATCTGGTCGCGAGGCTTGATTCCAGCAAATAATTCCGATAATTACGGCTTTGGGAAAACACTGACTTGCTGTTCATAGCTTAGACTGCAAATAATTTTACCAATTAAATCACTCAAACATTTATATACAGTACAGTATAACATGCAACATTTTTAAAATATAGAATTATTGAACTTACCCGATTACCAAATGGACTAAGCATTATCTCGTCTATTTCTTTATCGTGAGCATCTATTTCAGCTTTCTTTACCATATGTGGGTACTTAAAAAAAGGGAAAACAGCATGAATTTTATTAACCATTAGATCGCTAAGTTAGCATGCACGTGTAAGTCTGGAGAACTTTGAGATACGAAAAAAGTAAAAAATAAATAAGTTAATTAAAAATAATATACAGTAGGCCTATAGCTTAAAAATACTACAAAAAACAAGTAAACAATATAACAAAAAACATCAACAGATATTTACCGTCCAAATCCTGATCTTGCCATCTGTACCGGCGGTTATTACAAACATACCGTGAGGATCAAAGCATACAGCTTTTTGGTACTGGTCTCCCTCACCGGTAACAGAAACTACCGATGTTAAACGGTTTATTTCATACGTCACTTTTTCCTCTTCTTTCTCAGTTTTCTCAGTTTCCGTTACTTTCTCTGGTTTTGCAGTTTTTTCGTCTGATTTTTTTCCCGCTTTTTTTCTTCTCCTTCCTCCTAGAAAGTAGAGTAAATTGTTTAATTAAAAATAATATTTTTAAAATATTATCTTAAATTGTTATATTAGTTAATAATATCAACAATAAAACACTGAAATAATTACAGAAGAAACAACTTGGGGAGAGCATATTCAAAAATAATTTCAGTGCATGTTGAGAGTCTAACACACTTGCAAATCCTAACAATGTCTGCCGTGAGTGCATGAGGAAGCGTCGAGGTCAGGGTTCCAATACCTCGTTGTGCATTTCGTTTGTGTTCTTGAGCAAGGCACTTTATCTACATTGCTTCTCTCCACCCAGAAGTACAGTATAACTGGGTACCTGGTGGGGTTGCCTGCTACTGCACCAATATGGCAGCTACACTTAAGCATGTGAACCCAATGACCAGGGAAAACAAAACTCTTCGTATCGTAAAGGAAAAGCGCTATATAAATACCACTTAATGAATAACGATGATAAGGCCGAAAAACAATGTTCATCTTCAGCAAGATATTTCTCAAAATTAAGACAGAAATGTTTATGATAAACCTGACTTCAAAGTGATTAAATTTAGTGTGATCAACCTAGCCCCTGACCTCAAAATACCTTTCTTTTCTGAGGGTTCTTTCTGAACTTCTTCTTCTACCTTAACTGTTTTCTTGAGTGCATAAATTTGACATTTCTCATCCATACCACATGCCATGATGTAGCCATGATCATCATCAACCCTAATATTAGATAAATAAATAAATAATATTAAGAAAAATAAAAACAGTACACATTGTAGTACATATTTTATGAGAACGTCACAGTGAAATAATCTTATTTTAGACATACAGGGCGAAGACAAGTCAAACCAGTCATTCCTTGCCAATCATGTTTCAGAGATAATGACCAAAACATGTTGGAATGTTAACATTTTTGAAATCTATTTTATTACACTAAACTAAACTTTAAATATTTATACATCATGCTATGTTGTTATTTTCAGAAATTTTGAAGTTGAAACAACATTTGTTAATGATTTGGTGATGGTCTCTGCTTAACAAATGGCCAAAATTCTAAAATTTTAAGACTGATTTCTCAAATACTGTTCTTTAAACAGAGCTGTATGTTGACACTCCTGTAACTTCATAACGAAATGTCAGATTTAAATGATTTTTTACCATTTTTTAACTTTCATTTTACTGCTAACCCTGTTTAATAACTAAAAATGTTTGCAAGGAGTGACTGTTTGGCTTGCCTTCTTGCCACATACAGATAATGTGTATGGTACTCAAATATAGTTGGAAGCAGGGCTTTAGCCAGAAAAATGAAATAGACCGTCCAAAATGGAAGCCAGTGATCATGGTACTGAGCCGATGAGCAGGCCACGCCCATCTTTTGATAGTCCCCACCGAATATTGGTACGAAAACAACGTACATTCAATTATTTTTTTTAAATGAAAACTGTTTGTTTAATGGTGTCGCAGAGTCTATCTGAAGTATCAACCTGCTTTGAAAAAAACCTTACAACAAACCTAATGGCAGCATTGATTATTGCACTTCGATCATCTCCTACATCTGTGTTATGTGAAAACAAACTTTCAGCAACAACTTTAGGTCCTGGCCTCTTCAACTCAAAAATTTCCTAGAGAGAAAGCTTAATATAATTATACAAAACATTATAACTTTATGTTTAAATGTTGTAAATTAGTTTAAACAATTTAAATTCACAGTAAGTTGCAAAAATGAAAGAGTCAGTGATACTTGTAGGTAGATACAGGAATTTGAAATAGCGGGATGGCCACCATGGTCGGGCTTTGAATTTTGACCGCATACTGTTCATCTCCTTATTGAGGAAACGCAAGAAGAAACCTGGCTGAGGTACGATTAAGAATGTTATTGTTGGATAGGAAAGAAATGGCACCCTCAACAACGACAACTATAAAACTTAAAATTCAAAGCAAATTTCATTTTCCCCAATCATATTATTTTACTACAGCCCGCCCAAGTGAGATCACACTACGTTCCGACTGTACCCGTAGGCTTGCAGGCTATTATATATAGGCTTGACCCTACATTATAGTATATACCTTCCGCCTGGCCTACGCTACAGCGGGCCTGCCAGGGCCTAGGCTATGCATGCACCCCGGAACCGGCTTGTTGAGTGGCTAGCCTAGCTAGTGTCCACGTAGACTTCATTGCTAAACAACTATGATGCAGTATCACCAAACTTACTATTCCATTTGGAACGCCAGTTCTTGCTTGACCACCACCACCAGCAACAACAAATCGCACCTCATCAAGACACCGTATAACATAAGGAGGAAAATCTATACACGCTAACTGCGCTGCCATTCTGCAATTCAATGTTGTTGTTGGTTGGTTCGTTGATTAATTTTTGATTAAAATAATTTTCAGCAACTTAGAGGATCAATTTCATAAGAGGGCGCTAATTTAGCTAGAGAGGCAAGTGTTTGGCGGTTCCATATTAAATGTATCATTCTTATTATATCTCTATGGGTGGTTTAGATACCGTACTCGCGCGCGAATAAGCGTCCCGTACCGTTTAAATTGTTTGAATAAGCGCCCCACTCGAATATTGTCTTAAAGCGCCCCGTTTGAATGAGCGCCCCTCGGTATTTATTCATTTTTTTTAAACAATAGGCCTTTGTGATTGATTTTTTTTAGCAAACGATAATCTACCCGTAATCCTGAGACGGTGGTTGGCATGATTTTGAGGTGAGGAGTGGATTCATATTTTCTTACGTCAATTTCAAAATGAGGATATTTTATACTGGACAGATGAGAGCTCCCTGGCAGTATCTTTTCAACTTTCAACTCTTTTTACATTTGTCTACTTCTTTTTCTTTTCGACAATTTGCACCTTCAGCACGTTTTCATGTGAGTTTGCAAGAAGCCACTGATCCTGCTAATCTCAGTCGGCAGATGGCCCACAAGCTTATACACCACCACAACCACCACCACCACTAATTTCATCTCAGATATATTCTTGTCACGAGCCATGCTCTCTGGACGATTATATTTTTTGCACCAGACGCATTCGTAATCTTCGGTTTTCGGATGTCCTTATATAGTTTTTTCATTCATAAATCGCCCATTGAATTTTCCACGTTCCCAGAAGAACTCCTCACTTTTCATATATTTTCATAAGCGCCCTCTCAATTTCCCCTCTGTTTTCATAAGCGCCCCGTTTGAATAAGCGCCCCTCAAAAAGGGCAAAAAAAGTATTTGCCAGCGCGCTTATTCGCGCGAGTACCGTACGGTTGATGAAGGCGAATAAATTATACCGGTACCCAAATTAACAATACCGTACTCTGCCTAAAAAAAATCCGAAAACCCTAAAAAGATTAGTTAAAATTTTAAATAGCTAAGAGTAAATAAAATTATTAAAACTTCCAACTAAATATGTATAATTTCGTTCAAATTTTAAATTGTAAACTTAATTAATATACATATTCTTCGTAGATCTCTTCACAAAGAGTACGGTACATATTTCGGATAGTGCATATCTTAATTGTCTTAGCCATTCTGGCACTGCAAACATATTTTTCCATGGAAAATGGAATGAAAATAAAAATAATAAAATAACGAACATAAACTCACGATATGTTTCTTTGGAAGAAGCCTTTCGATCTGTCTCATCCCCGTCGGCGCCGACGAGGATCCGGAGTAGACAGAGAAAAAGGCTTCGTTATTCGTTCGTTATATATATTTTGATAGGCCTATTCGTTGCCAGGATGTCTAAGACAATTAAAATTAAAACTAATCATGATTACATATAACAATTAGACAAATCAAATAGGCCACTACAGGTACGCAACTGCGGCTTGACACCCTCCAATTAAAGACCACCTTCAAATTAAGATCAATTTTCTGTGGTCCCATATTAACAAATTCCTTGATCTTATTATTCTAGATACTGATAGAGACCAAAGCTGTTAAAGACAGACAATGGAAACCCCTGTCCCAAAAGTGGTATTTTTATTCCATTCGTTAGCCCATGGCAGACAGTGCATGAACTGTAAACTTGCACATTCCTATAAAACATCTTTCGTCTTATGCGATCCTAAAGCGCACAGTGTTGATCTCTGTTTTAAATGCAAATCTAACGAAAAAAGAGCAGATACCGTACATAGTAATACAAGGCAAAGCAGAAAAGTAAAATTCACAACATAAAATAAATACCAATAAGATTAAAATTCGGCTCATATACACAAGAGAGAGCAGTTGGCTAATATAAGTGTTGATGAACGTCACTCTAAATATACGTGTTTAGTTAGTAGGAATTCTAGTTACTTCGAAATGTTTTAAGTTTATAATTTAATCAATTTATGAGGACAGTACATCTCACAAGCTAACACTTACCTTTTCATTTTGTATGAGATCTGTTCAGGTATCCGGTCACGAATAACATGCAAGTTGTGCCACACTCGCTATGCACACTTATCAACCAATAATTTGGCGTCATCCTAGTGACGTGGCTCTGGATACCACTGCTGTTGACGTGTTTTATGGCACTCAGAGCGATACTAGTATTTAGGCCCTATTTGTAAAGAATGTGCGTCGAAGAAAAACAAACGAAATTAATAATAATAATAAAAAATATACCATTCTTCCTCCCCTCTTACTGCCTTGAAAATGCAACATTAATACACTTCATCCTCCTCGATCCGAAGTTGTGAGTTCTTTCCAATAGGCCTACATCTTCTTAATATTATGCATGAGGTTCCCGGGAGGAGAAATCTGCGAGTGTGAAAAAAAAATTCCCCAACCTGATTTGAACCCGGGACCTACTATGCTTTTTATGCAGACGCCTTAATCAGCTTGGCCATTGAGGATCAGTAGGAAATTCACATCCGATTAAAGCAACTCTTTCTAACACACTTTTGAACGTGCATAGGCCTACTATTTGGACAGCACTAGTCCTCGGCGCAACAGAGATAATTTTTGGTACGCCCTCTTCCCGGCCCTCTTCTTATATAAATACAGTATATCAAGGAATCAAGTCATATTTATTGCATATATATTACTGTATTGGTATTATACTGAGTTATAATCAAATAACGCAAGGCAAGACCATCCATAATCTGGTAAGACCCCCTAGATTGGTAATCATTATTGACGTGGCTCGGAGAGGGACCCACCGCTGACGTGTTTTATGACACAAAAGCACAGGCTGTGTTTCTAAACGATATTGATTGATTCTATCTGCCAAAAGTTCCCTAGCCAACAGACGCTCTCTGTGTGGCGCTGTGATGATGAGAAGATCGTTGATATACTGACTACTTTAGTCTTCCTCTGCTAGCCTATCCATGTAAGTATAGACTGTTTCAGGCTATGCTGTTTATTATGAATACAGTATATATTATATATATATATATAGAAATTAATGTTTATGATCGATGTGCCTCTATTTAGGCTAGGGTAAGTAGTCCCTAGTCTGCATACTACACTAGGCCCTAGTACTAGTAGGCCTAGGGCCTACTACTACTCTAGTCTCTAGCCTGGCCTAATAATAATATGGCCTACCTAGTAGGCCTAGTCCTATTAATGTAACTTAGTAGGCTAGGCTGGCCTACTTAATTTAATGGCTAGGCCTAACTAGCCAAGAGAGAGAGAGAGACCTACCTAGGCCTAGCCTAATCAACACTTGTATTTGTTAAAGGAGGCATGCCGTTCCTGCAGTCTATCTTGCCATCATAGTATCAAGTTGATTGGCTAGGGACTCTAGGCTATAAAGTTATAATTAAGTCACCATGTCACGTGTATTTATTATATTTTTTGAACCAATAATTTTATTTACATTTCATATTTTCAGAATTTGCATTGCAATGTTTTTTTGGTACGGATAATCAGTGACGAAGATGGGAAAGTTAACTGTTGACCTAATTGCTAAAGCATCGAGCAATGCAAGGAAGAAAAGAGATGAGTCCCTCAACCACTATCTAAAACGTTTAACTCATCTTTATTTTGCTGAAAAGAAAATTGATGGCATTGTTAGTAAATTTTCTGAAATTAAAACAATGCCATACAAAAGATAGAAAATCTTAGCATGCTGACTAAGTTGTCGAAGTTGTAAGTATCCCAATTTGATTTACTAATGAATTTGGCAAGAGACACTCTATTAATATTTAAATAATGATACTTCTTCTGCCCTAATTCAGGCCTTAAACTTTCAGTTTGCTTTGATCTTTTTAACAAGTAAAATATTTTGTTATATAGTAATTCTAAAATAAATATTTTCTACAGATATCTAGGTGGAAACTATATAACAGTATTAGAAGGTCTTGATAAACTTGACCAATTACGGGAGCTGCATATAGAAAACCAACAGTTACCCCCTGGAGAAAGGCTATTGTTTGACCCCAGGTCACTAGCAACATTATCGGTAAGCATTTGCTTAATTCTGTTCTTTCTTTCAAAGGTACAAGGACATGCATAGCTATGTATGGTTTATTGGCGAGAATGCACTGAGTTTATTCCATTCATTTTTAAAAGATTTTTAATCTTTGAATTTATAATATTTCTTGTTGTCTTTGTTTTATGTCCATATTCGGAATAAAAATAAAAAAAGATAAAGATTTTCTTTAAAATATTTGTAAATTTTCTGATTTTATGTTTTAAGCATCCCTTTAAGTAATCTTGTAATTCTCGGTGAAAAAATCATTAAGAAATTCAACTACTAAAGGGCATTATAAGGGTGCACTACATGAAGGTGCTTTCCCACTATGTTGGAAAAAGGCTAATGTATGTCCTGTTTATAAGGGGGGTAGAAAAAATAAAGTTTCAAATTATCGTCCCATTTCACTTTTACCAACCATATCAAAAATATTTGAACGTCTAATTCATAATTCCATTTCAAACCACGTTTCACCTGTTCTTTCTAGGGCCCAACACGGTTTTACCCCCCACCGTTCCTGTTCTATGAATATCACAACTCTTTTAAGTACTGCATATAAAGCCATTGAATGCCACTCCCAGTGTGACGTAATATATACCGATTTTGCTAAAGCGTTCGACAAGGTCAATCACGAATTACTTATTTACAAACTTACAAAATTTGGTATATCTGGTAATTTGTTAAAGCTCCTTGTCAGTTATCTTAGTGAGCGTGAGCAACGGGTAATTTTGGAAGGAGCTTTTTCCACCTGGCTCCCCGTTAAATCTGGAGTTCCACAAGGAACCATCTTAGGCCCTCTACTTTTTAACCTATTCATAAACGATCTCCCGTTAAATCTAAGCTCACAATGCTTAATGTATGCCGATGACTTGAAGCTCATTCGACAAATCAACACTCTTGGAGATTCCCATCAGTTACAGAAAGATCTTGATGGTTTCTGTAAGTGGTGTGAAACTTGGGGTATGGTTATTAGTGAAAAAA